TTCCTTCCATCCTTCCATCCTTCCATCCTTCCTATCCCCGTCCCCATCCCCATCCCTTCCCTGCCGTTTCCTTTCCCCCGCATCCCTTCCCTTCCCAATTGGATCCCTTCCCTTCCCTTGCCTTGCCTTGGCTTGCTTTCTCGTTTCCTTGCCGCCTCCCTTCCTTGTTACGCTTGCCATACAGAAACGCAGATCAGGATGCGCGCAAACAAACAGAAAAATGCAGAAAGCAGAAAAGCGAAACTGCAAAGAGCAGAAAACGTGGGAACTAACAGCAGAAGGCCACACCCAACTTCCTCTTCAAGCTGTTGAAACTCAGAGATCGAGTCTGAGTTCCAATTTGTGGACCATCACCATCACCACCCCCACCATTACCATCACCATCACTTTCACCACCACCATCCAACACTATCGCTGCCCCCGCCTCCACCACCATCACCAAGATCACCATTTCCCACCACCATCATCACCATTTCCACCACCGCCACCACCACCACCACCGTTTTTACCACCACTGTCTTCACCATCACCGTCTTCGCCACCACCGTCTTCTTCACCACCGCGCCCACCAGCCACCACCCACCACCACCCAACCACCAACCACCTACCAACCACGCACGACCACCGCCCAACTTGCATTTTTCCAGAAATGTTCGTTCCAGATTTGGGATGCTAGTGTTTGGCTCTTTTGTGTTTTCCATTGCTGTTGAGTAGACCATTCATTCCCAGCCCGGCGCCCTACTGGAAATACTTCATCATAGTCTGATAGCACCGAAGACACCTTCTTGGCTTCCTTCAACTTTGAGCGCCAGTCCTCCAAAGCGAAGCGCTTCAGCATTTCTTTCACCTTTCCATCCTGCTGCTTCATGGACTCATAGACATGCACGCGGCCTCTGACTGCCAGCTCAATCTCCTCGTTGTCTCTGTCATCACCTCTCCTTTCTTCTAGAATAGTCTCCTCGCCCTCTTCTTTTCTGACATGTTCTGCTGTTGCAACGGACAATCCGAAGCAAATCGCTCAATGATTTCACGGTTTCTCCACCACGGGGTCGCGCATGCAAACCGAGACGGCTTGGCACTGCTTTGGATTAGTTGTCCTTGAGCGTCAACCATCTGCGCTGCTTGGTTTCCAGATTGTAGTACCCCTCAACCGCCGCTGAGACGTCAGCGCCTGAGTCAATTAAGGGTCACGATCACCGTCGCGGCTCGAGGGCCATGACATTCCTGATCACGCATATCTTCAACGGCTCCTCAAACTCATTTTCACAATTGGCTCCATCGAAATTGTTTCCTGTACATTCAATACGCGACGTTCATGATTCAAAGAACTCCTCATTCTCGTTCTTTGGGTTGTCCTGCGCATGCTCCGTTGTGATCTGCGCTGCAAACAACAATGTCTACTGCACTGTTTAATTTAATGCAACGCGACGGCTGTCCTCTGTTGCACTGCGCCTGCTCCGCGCTGCGCCTCTTGCAGTCTGTTTGCGCCGTCCTCTGCTCTGCACTCTTCTCCCATCGCCCTGATGGCCATAAGATTGTGACCACATTCTCATCTCCTGAGTCATCTGCTTCCTCAACTGAATCGTTCTGAGTCAAGTCAAAGATTTCCATGGCTGCCAATCGTCGGTGTGACCAAAGCAACCCTCCTGACACTGACTCGCTAACTGTGTGGGCTGGATGCCCAGTTGACTCCACTGACTGGCTCTTGTTGTTGCGGTCTTCGCCCCATTGCCTTCGCCTTCTTCTCACCTTCTGCGCGCGCTTTGGTGCCCCACAAGCAAATCGCCCTGGCTTTCCGCAGCTGTGAAACGCAGAAGCCGGACCCTTTATTATTTAGAGGCTTGCGCCTGATGGACTGTCCTGTAGAGGTTGACTCTGACCAGCCCAGACACTTCTTGCAAGCCAGACGCGTCTCTTCGCAACCCCACAGACTGACGCTGTAAAACACATGGTTTCCGCACAGGTTCACTCCAAACGCTTCTCTCCGCAACCCCGAAACTCTGTCAAACACATGGTTTTCGGACATGTCCGCTCCAGACACTTCTCTCCGCAACCCCGAAAACACCGTAAAACACATCGTTTTCGGACATGTTCAGTCCGTGTTTATTCTCCTCCGGTAGAAGAAAAAGAGCCAGAGCCAGCAAAAGAACAACATGCTAATAATGCAAGGCCACTCGGGCAGCATATCTCGCACCACGGGCCTTCGAAAACGACCTCACATCCATCACCATATCCATGTTGCCACACGTTGGCCCACGTTACGTCGCGTCGCCAGGGTTGTTGCCCTGCGTTGCCAGGGTGACGGGGGGGAGGTCGGGCGGAGGTGGGTCGACGGCAGGGGCGCGCCCGTCAGTTCCCTTCGGTAACCGCCGAAGGCCTCCGGCTAGGACACGGGCTGGCCCGGTGGCCGGCGCCCGGACTTTCTCCCGTTGGGATTTGCCTGCGGGCTTTCCACCTTAACCTTCTCGATGCCATCCTTCGACCAAGAACCTTTTCCTTTGGAAGGTTTCCCTTTCTGGCTTTTCTTCCCTTTCTTACCGCCCTGCTTTCCACCATGCTTGGACGATATAGCATCAACTTTGTCGTCCTCTTTTTGAGCTAGCATCCTCCTTCAAGCGTACTTGTGACTGACGCGCTCAAACAACTCGACCCGCTGCCTCAGACCCTCACACGGAGCGCGCAGGCTCATTGCGCGTGAACCCTCCAATGAGCTGAAAAAAATCCCGCTCTATCTAAAATCAATATCCTAGCTTCAAATCGCAGCAATTCCAAGCGGTGGCTTTCATGTAGACGACATCTGCTCAGGTTGTATGTTGCGCGCGCCCCTTTCATGGCTGCATTCTGACTTACAGGTCCTACGGCTCCAAATGCGAAACTGAAAGTAGCAGTCCTCTTATAAGCAAGTTGCCTATGAGAGATGATTTCCTATCGTTCTTCTCTTTATTCGCGCATACAAAAACCCCACCTTTTCACTCACTCTCATAACCCCACTTGTGTATGTCTCTAGTGTATTGAGTAGTGGCCCTGGTAAGCAGATGGCCCAAGTGGTCAAGTGGTCTAGCGCGCATCTAGCGCGGGTCTAGCGCGGATCTAGCGCGCTCCCTTGCCAGTGCGTCAGGCCACCAAACGGCTGTCATCAAAAGCATGCGTTGCGGTCTGCCATGCTTTCCTAGCTTTGAAAGGTTGCGCAATAGCTGTTCCACGCACAAAGAATCCGAAACACAATGGGAGCATGCCCGCAGTGGATGGGTGTCGGTGGCCCCTGCTTACATAAACCAATCACAGCCAAAACGGCCAGGTTGCCCGTTCTTACTTCAACAAATTTAATTGCCAATGTGTGTATGTGTTGTTTGTTGATCTTGCCTAAGTTTTTCCTTGAACCTGGCGCCAAACCTAGCGCAACCCTGCGTTTTGCTAGCGCGACAAGGTGGCATCTCCAAGTTAAGCACCAGAATACCAAGCGGTGGCCAAGCTATTTCTGAACCTCTATACTATCGGACTGGAAGTTAGAATGCCGTTTTAAAAAATCTACAAGGCAAAGGTTTGACACTAGGAACCCCCAAAAATGACCCCCCATTCTAAGTTTTCCTAGTGTCATAGTGTTAGAATGCCCGCGTATTGAGGCATAATGTTGGAAGGGTGCCCTAATTTTCTACATTTGATTCAGATAGAATGCCACACAAAATGGACATGCCGACATTAAATTATAGAAAAACATGTTGCTTGGGTTGGAAATATTTTGCATTAGCCTGCATAGATGGTTCAGATAGAATGCAGAGAAAAATACAGATGAACATGTTCATTTTGGGAACTTTTGTCCCCAAATATCCATTTTACAGTGATATCCAGAATCCTCAATTTCCGTAGCATGTTTATTCTCATTTTTCATGTTGTGTATATAGTCTTTTTTTGAGGAAAATATATATGCATCCTGAGGATCGTCCTTGGCAGAGACAGCGTCCAGGAGGCAGAAGCCACGGTGGCCGACTTGTGATCCGTTTCGTGCATGGTTCAACTTCAACTTTCCTTGTTGCTCAAAGTTTGCGGCATTCTATGTATGCCTTGGGCAGTGTGTATTGGGCAATTGCGTATGCATCAAATATCCCAGACTGTATATATATATACACAGCATATTTATATAACAGTGATATCCAGAATCCTCAATTTCCGTAGCATGTTTATTCTCATTTTTCATGTTGTGTAGCTGTTTTTCGAAGAAAAATATATGTATATATATAATGCAGGACAATGGCAATGGACCCCCCAATTCACTGCCCAGCTAATTGGTCAAAATGACCTGAATTTGGGGGTTGCTGGCGTTTGAATGGCCCGGCGCGGATCTTGACAAGATCTTCTGGAGCGGATCTGACAAGATCACAGCTTAGATTGGGGACTGGCCTACCTGGCCAAAAGACACAAACACAGGATGACGCGGGAAAAAGGTCTTGGATGCACTACTTCTCTTTGTGTCAAAAGACTTCCCAAACCTTTAATGGACTGGAAGATAGATTGCCGCATCCCCATTATATATATAAACATACTGGGAGGCATTCTATGTTTCTACCTAGTGCCAAAGCATTCTAACTCATTGCGATGAAATTTAAAAAAAGTCGACATTCTATCTTCCAGTCCGATAGTATAACTTTCCTTAACCTTACATTTTTCAACTCATAAATTGAGAGGCAACGCAGCAACAACGGAGGCGATCTTGAGGCCATTGGGTATGTGATCTTTCGCGTTCCCTGACACGCTCGCGTTGGAACCGCCAATCCAACCAACCACTTCCCAAGCTCCTCTGCTCTGCTCTCTCGAGTAAAGGCTGTGGTTACAGCCCTTGTTTGGGCATAGATATGTCAGTGACAAAAGAACATGCGCGCTCGCCATGGACCGTCCTGTGGGAATTCACTGCGGTCTATAAGAAACACTTTTAAACCCCTCGCAACGTTCATTGAAAAATCTACACTTGACACCTACACATGCTTCTTTCGGTTTTCTCTGGCCTTGAGAACTGCAGCCACACAGGCTACGATATAGTACCCCACGGCGCAGATGACCATCTGCGCATCTAAACAGCAACGTCCGCTGTCCATTACAAAACTGACCCTTTTACTTTGCAGCGTCAACCTGCGCTCACCGGTGAAGACTAGACGCCATTCAAACGCAAAATGGCGCTTAGCAGCTATCATGTGCAAACACATGTGTCACAGCAGTTCACGCAGCCGCTTGCAAGGAGCCTCAGCAGCGATGGCACCCAGCGGCGCCACCAGAATACTCCATTCCTCAAAGAACGAAGCGTCAAGTCTCCACAGCTCCGCAAGCGATGGCTGCCACAATCGCACGTCTCCTCTTAGACGACGAATAAGACTATATACCTTGCGCGCGCGATGAACTAGGTGGCCATCGCACGCCAACTTCCCTACAGTTTGCAGAGCGTTCATTTCTACAATTTGATTCTGCTCTTCTGGGTGGCCGCCAAGCAAAACAAATCCAGCGGAAAATACTTGTATATATTGCCAAGAACCTACGACGGGCGCAGCGTTCACCGTGCTCGCCTCGGGCTCAAAGCCTGCAGGCGTTCAAACACATGGCCCGCCTTGCGTGACCATGGTTCTGACCTTGGTGCCACGCGTCCCTAGTTCTTTTCGTGGGGAAACCTGGGTTCCACAAGGAGGCAATCAGATTCCCATCATATGAGGTGGAGAGGAAGACATCCACAATGAGATCGAGGAGATGCGCGCCGCCGAGATCACTGCTTGGCCCTCGGCGCAACAACCAACCATTGCAAGCCCTTGATGGGAAGCTGACACTGAACATTGCACCAGAGATGTTCCTGCGCGCGCGTGAAGGTGCTTACAGCGGGATCGCGTGTGGCAGCTTGCGCACGTTGATCGCGCACCGAGCAGTGGGTCGAAGTGAACATCAAAGGAAGGAATGGTCGAGTGACTTTGCACAGGATCCAAGTTCCATTGCGCTGGAGCGATTGTCGATCGTTGACCAGGACACTCCTGGACAATGTTGAAAAGCCCCGTCTCATCACAATGGTCTTCAATTGCGACCCACGGCCACCGCTGAGCACTTTCTTGAAGGAAGATGAGAGAGAAGCTTCGCAGGAGGACGCCTCAAAGAGCAGGTTAACGGCGTTATCTTCTTCATAATCCACTTGCAAGCCAAGGCTGGAAGCATTGTACGCAGTGAGGGTGGACCAGCGTGCAACCAACTTTAAGGGTGTGGAAAACCACTTCAAGCCAACCAAATGTGCGATCTCATCCCCAGTGACAGCGGCCAAGCTGCGCCTGCGTTGCTAAGAGATCATCAACATGGAGCTGTTCAAGGAAGAGGCCATAGTGGGAAAATGGACACCAGAGCTTGGCGACTTGATTGTGGCGTTCAAAGGCAAAGTCTCTTGGGCGAAGAGTGCGGAGAGGCATTATGAGCTTGAGGAGTCCGCAATCGTCCGCAATGCTTTGAGGAGGACCTCCGGAAATTCAATCGTGGGACTTTTGGTTGAGAAGAGCCACGCTAGCACAGCAAGGCAGTCCCCTTTGGGGCCCATTTCTTGATCACATGCCATCGCACAGAATTGAACCACAAACCTATCGACAATGGCCCACACAACTTGAGAAGAGCCATTGCAGAAGAGGGTGACCTTCTCATGGGCGACAATGAAGATAGGTGCCCAAGGGAGGTATGATGACGCAGCGTTGTACAAGCAGATCACCATTGTTGCTGCATGCTTTGACTCTGGTTTCCACAATTCTTGCAACAAAGGCAACAGCCGTTCCACAGTATTCAGAACGCCTATCACTAGCGCTGGCCTTCATCATTGCTATGTTCCTGTTTGCGCCGCACTAGATGTTAGAGCATTCGGCGATCATTATGAATGTCATTGGAAGGGAAGGCAGGAAAGGATAGGAGCAAGCGCAAGCAAGTCGTGCTCCAACAAGAGGCGAGGTGGCAGAAGAAACAAACACAACAATGAGGCAAATCGATCGCATGATCCGCAAGATGACGGTGGTAGGCAAAGATCAAGAGATATTGTAAGTGAAAAGACATTCATGATCTTTCACGCGGTGTCAGATTGCCACAGAGCGTCTCTTGAAGTGCAAGCAGAGCGCAAAGATGCCATCCGCTGGGCTAGGGCCCTGTTGGGAGGCTGTTGGATCCAAGCAGACCCCGCGCCTGCGCTTGCCAATGTCCCATGAAGTCGGGATTGTCAGTGTTTGTACGGAAGCTGTGCTCCGGTGGAACGAAGATGTCGCTCAATGGGCAGACACAGAGTCCCACACAGCCTTTCACCCTGAAAACCCTCAAGCTCTGAGGATGTCACCTCTGACTGGAGCGCCTTCAAAATCGGGCCTTTTGTGTTGCAGCCTTTCGCGTGCCCAATCGCATCGTCCTCTGCTGCTTACATGAAAAGCACTCCTGCAGCTAGCGTAGGGGGATTGAGATGGGCCAGGTCACGCGCGAGCCTGAGCTCACGCCAAAATCCCTTGGCCACAAGCTCCGCGCATCGAGTGATAGCAAGCACGTTCTATATTGTCTAATTACATGATATATTCTATACTTATTTATAGCCGGCCTACGCTCCCTATCAGGTAGTATCCTACCCAGAGTCCTCGGTCACGCAGTCGCCGGCAGCTTCCAGGCAGTCAGAAGCTTTCTTGATCGTCTCTTTGTACGCCGAGGTCTGGCATGCCAAATCATCAAAATACACCAAACGCCGGCCTGCACCCTGTGTTTTGCATGGTAGCAAATTTGCACTTCGTGAAGAACACAATTAAATTGCAAGTGTTCCAAAGTCTAAAGGTCCAAGGACGAGCGTAAACTTGTTTGAACTGGCCAGAGGTTCAGCAATCAGCTTTTCTAGTTCTGGTAGCGTCGGGATCTGTCCCTGGCTAATCCGCTGGTCCCTGCTGCTAGCAGTTGTATAGAAGCATTGATATACATGGCCTAATCAAAGCACACGAATTCCAGCGGAAGCTGATTCCTGCTTTCATCGAAAAAAGGGTTCCCAATCCCTGTCTGAAGATCAACCGTTTGCAGATATCAAAAAGTCAACAGGAAGAAATCACACGCCTAAGTTTCAGTGTCAATCAATTGGGAAATAGTTTGACTTTCAGACTGCTGCTGCATACACAAAGCCTGCAGATGTTCTGCGTCCCTTTAGATTCAACTTTAGATCCTTGCTTAGCCTCTTCTGGTGTTATACTCGGCTCGTGGAATTCTGACCTGAAACCCTGTCTCCAAACCTGAATAGAACTCGGGTAAATCATGAGCTCCAAACACCTTTTCCAAGAGGTAGTACCCTAGCCCAGGGCAAGTTAACCATACTGATTATTGCTTAGGCGGTTGGAATAGTGCGCAAACTTGGGGCCCTCGAAAATGTGTCTTAGCTTAATTAGTGTTCTTTATTCTGCTGTTGCTTCCCTCGGCATCCTGACCTGAAAACCTTTTTGTTGTTTTTAACACCTTGTAAAACCCAGCGAAATCATCGCCCCGAGCGCAAACCCAGGGCAAGTCAACTATGTGAAGTTTTGCGGGGCGAGGGAATGGTGGAGTTGTGAGAAAGATGTTAGCTGAGCTCGGTGTTCTTTTATTGCTATTGCTGCTGCCCCTCAAACCACCACCAAATCTTAGCTGAGATCTTCTGCTATTGCTGCCCTTTCAAACCCTTGCTTAAGCTCTTCTGTGGTTTTGCTTGGCTCCTGGAACCCTGACCTCAAAACTTGCACTCTGTAAAACTCATCGAAGCCATTGATCCGCACAATTTTTCAAGGGCCGTACGCAAGTTCAGGAGAAAACTAATTGTGTGGAAAAAGTATCTTTGGTTGGTCTTCTCTGGTTCTGCTACTGCTGCCCTTTCAGACCCTTGCTCGAATCTAAACTGAACATATTTTTCTACTGATCAGCTGACAGCTGAGCACAGGAAGCTGCTGCTACTGCTAGACTGCTACTATTCCTCCTCCTACTACTGTTACCACTACCACTACCACTACCACTAGCACTACCGCTACCACCATACGACCACCGCCACCACCACTACTACTGCTCCTCCCCCACTCCTACTGCTTCTGCTACTCCTACCTACTCCTGCTGCTGCTGTTGCGGCGGCTCCTGCTGCTGCCGCTGCTGCTACCGCTACCGTTACCGCCACCGCTACCGCTACCAAGACGCCACGACGACCACTGCTATTGCTGCTGCCCCCATACCACCACCACGACTATGCCACAACTATGATTACTATGTAGGAGAATAGTTTTGGTGAGGCTGAGGCTGTCTCAATTCCCTCTTCCCCAATTGTTTGCTAAACAGTGGGCGGGGCTTCGTTTATGGTCCAACCTTAACGGGATAACTTGAACGCAGAGGTTCGCTGAGGGTGGATACAAAATGTAAGGGGCGCTCCGCTCCTGTGGAACAAGGGTCTATCCGCAACCCAGGCACGTGGAAAAGAGTCCTCAGGCGGTTCCAAACGCCGGTCCAAGGCGTCCCAGCTTCAAAGCTGCAACGCAGAAGCGGACAAGTTTCAGACAGAAAACTCCACCTCACCATTAGCCAAAATCTAAGTAGAGCTCGTTTCCAGAGGCGGTTCTGATTGGAGGCAAGCTTAGCTTGAGAATTCCATTGGTTGGTGATTGCGGCAAAGGTGTGGGCTCTGAGATCAGGTGGGGCGGAAAGCCACGCTGATCTGGCACGGGTCAGGCGGGGGCTGGCGGTGGCCCAGCTTGTGTGGCGAAGAGCTTGTGATGCTCTCGTGTTTTGCTTCTGGAACTGAGACCAGGTGTGTGCCCTCCAACCTTCGCGGAGAGTATGCAGCGTGGTCGGCCACTGCTCCGGATCCATCACGACCTTGGTGTGTTGTGGTGGCGGCGGATGGTTGGGATCCAAAGTGAGGAGGATCTTTGCTGCTGAGTGTGTGAATGTCCATGGTCCTGTTGTGGTCCAGCCAGTGCGCTGGAGCCAGCGTATGGTTACGCCGATTGGTCCTTGGGACTGTTTGGCGCTCCATCGGGCTCGGATGAGTGGGTCTGAAGCAGCTGCTCGGAGCGTCTGGATGGTTGCCGTGGATCCAGCGCGGAAGAAGACATCCGCAGAATGTCCTAGGAGCAGTCTTGTCAGTGGAGCGGCATTGCTTTTGGCTGCGGTGTAAACAGCTTGGCGGAGAGGTTGAAGATCCGTCTGGGCGGGCAATCGAGAGAATGTAGCAGCCGCTACTTTTGCAATGCCTGTGGCTTTGGCGAAGAAAAGACGGTCCATATGTGGATGGGGCAGACTACGAGTCCATCGGGTGACCTGGAGCGCTTGTTTGATTGCAGCTTCTTCCTGTGGAGCGGCTCCGGCATGTGCCCTGGTGAGCTGGATGTGAGTGCCGAGGACTTTGGGACGGGTCTTGATGCTACCAGGAGTGCCCGTGTCCTGGACAATGTTGGTCAAGATCTGCTGTGGTTGGCGGCCGCCAAATGCGGCATAATCTCGCTTGGATTGGTGTTCAGTGAGGCCCCAGGATGTGACCTCAGCGGTCCATGCTCGGCCGATTTGGGCGCACTCATCAGCAATGGTGGAGGCCCAAGTGCGGTCGTCCAAGTGGCACGTGTGAATGCTGCGCGGGAACTGGTGCTGAATTCGGCGGAGAGATTCGCTTAAGGCAGCCATGAGCCCCAAAGGTGATGCCGGATCACCCTGTGGCAGGACCTGGGGATTGGTGGTCGGTCTGCTGTATGTGGTCCGGCGAGTAGCCATCGCCTTTGGTTGGTCCAGGCGGCCCGCAAGGGCTGGAGAACTTGGTGTGGGAGTTGCATACGCTCAAGGGCATCAATGGCTTTCCGGGCCGCAAGACGGTCAAAAGCTTTGCTCAGGTCAGCCGAGCCCAAGAACTGTTTACCGCCTGGAACGGGACTGGTGAGTTGATGTTCGAAACTTGTCAGAAATGGTATGAGAGCGGTGTGGATGCCTCTTCCTGGAATACCGCCGTGTTGGGCGGAAGGGAGGGTGGTGGTGATCCAGACAGGAAGCGATGCTGATTGGTCGGGTGTTATCAAGCTCTGCAGGTTTGCTGGGCTTGATAAAGTGGCATTGGCGCCAGGCTGTGAGAGGCGTGGGCCAAACAGGTCGATCGGAGCATTCAATGTGGTGATAAACAGCCGCAACGGCTTGGAGATATCCCTCCGGGGCATGTTGGATTTCGGATGGAAACCAACCGTCGATACCAGCGGCTTTGGTGGCTTGTTTCCTGGCCGCGCTTCGTATATCGGAAGGAGTGACGTCCGGCAATGGAGGTGGTGGTAAAGGGGGCCAGGGCTGGTGTTGAGCCATCTGAGCAAGTGCCTGGTCCTGGAGGTCTGGTTCGGGTGAAGGCCAGATGTCGTGCCAGAAGTTGCCGAGTGCTTGGATGACCCGGTCGCCGGTCAAGATGTCGTCATTTTGACGGCAAGCGGTGAATGGGCGGTTCTGTTTGCCGCGGGCAAGCCAGTGCCAGACCCGTTGATGGCTACTGCGGAGTTTTTGTCGCCACTGTCGAAGTCGGGTCTGTTGGATGGTGTCCTCATCCGTGCTGATCTGTGTGTTGAGCCAGTCTCGAAAGGACTGGATGTCGCTGTGTCTCAGCGGATGGTATGGGCACGAGAGCGCCCTGGCGGTGGATTGCAGGTGTCGGGCAAGTTGGTGGGTGGCCTGGGTAGGCTGGCCGTGTTGGTGATGTCCCCAATATTCTGAATGGCGACGCCACAGTCGGCGAAGTCGGGCCAAACGGACATTGTGGATGTCCTTGGGATCAGCCTGATGATGGCGGATGTGGAGGCAAGTCTTGGGGATTGTGCCCTTGAGTTTGTTGCGAGGCTGGTGGGGTGCATCCTGGCGGTCAGAATAGGCCTCTTGGTGGGCTTTCTGGAAAGCACGGCTGAGTCGATGTTGGAGGGCCTGCCAGTACGTGTCGATTTGGCTGTTTTGGAGATCGTCTGGAATGGGGCCGGGTGTGTGCTCCCAATGTTTGGTCACCAGGTCCTGCCAATCTTGATCAGTCAGATGGGCTGGGCGGTCATATCGTGGGCGTGGTTCGAATCTTCGTGTGGGTTCCGAGGATATCTGTGTGTGCAGAGTATATTCAAGAAGCTTGTGGTCAGCGTACTTCCGGTGGCTCAGGCGTGGGATGGCCTGCTGGTTTCTCTGGATACTCCAGTCGATGCAGCGTTCCCCATTCCACCTAGTAGGTAAGGATGGAGGAAGATGGTGCTGCTGAGAGTCTGGGCTGTGCTCAGGTGCATCAGGATCGTGCTCGGTTGGATAATGGATGGCGGCCTGCAGAGAGCCCGCCCAAAGGTGGAGGGGATCATCTTCAGGTTCTGTGTTCCAATCGCCGCCGGCGAACCAGGTTGCTGCCCCTAAGGTGCTGAGGTGGTTGAACAGGTCTTCGTTCCACTGTTGTTGCTTATGCTGAGAAAGTCCAGGTCGGCGATAAACAGAGAAAATGTGGATGCCTTGCATGGCGATGTGGAGCCATTCGCCATCGGGGGACTGGTGTCCTTTGGCGCGTACAGCTGGGAGTCCCTTTCGGACAGCCACTGCAACTCCACCATCTGGTGTGTCATTAGGGCCTGGGACTCGCATGGAGGCTTGGTGGAAAAACTGCCAGTGTCGACTGTTCATGGCGATCTGCTGGGCAGTGAATTCTGCCAGTCGGGTTTCTTGGAGAAGAACGACATGGATGCCAAGAGTGAGAGCATTCTTGGAGGATGCTAGATCGCTTGTGGAAACTGCGAACATTGCACTGCCATAGTCGAACGCCGGTGTGTGGAGGTCGGTGGCGGGACCTATGATGGCGGCTTGGGCCGGGATTGGGTTCAATACCTTGTTTGGTAAGGTCTGTCTTATGTTTTGAGCGTTTCGCCAACTTGGAGGACGTTGTGCGAGACGCGGTGCTCCGACATGATGCTCCCCGACCCTTCGCTGTTGCAGTCGCGGCACGAGTCGGTGCGCGCTGCACTGAGGACCGCGAGGCGGGCAAAGGAGGCGAAGTCGAAGTCGGATTGGAAGTCGCAGGCTTGATTTTGTTAAGTCGCGGAGGAACAGTGGGAATGAAAACACTGGTTCCATTGACTGCTCCGCTAGCAGCGCGGGCATTGGTGGTGATTGCATATTTCTGTCTCCATTTGGTGCGCATTGCTGCGAGCTCTTGCCGGTACCGGGTGCGGTCAGCTTTGTCCTTGGCTGAACCAACGCATGGAGGGCGTTTCCTTTTTTGGCTCAGCTTTTGACAGAGTTTCTGCTCCCATTGGGCGAGAGTATCTGGGCGCATGTCCAGTTTGGATGCCAACAAGGTTTTCTGGTCAAGTGTCAACCTTGCCCACCATTTGGCGCGGTTGGCGGGGGGTTGGTCAGGATTGCGTTGGTACTGATGCATCTTGGCCGTGGAACCTTTGGCAAGGCATTGTTTGCAGATCCATGTGGTGCCTTGGGGCATGCAGCTGTGGAGATCTACCGTATGGATGTGGACCAACTCATGTTGATCCTTAGGCTGTACTAATGCTTGCATTTGCTTTGCTCGAAGCTGGCATCGCAAGGTGGTGCTGCTGCGTGGTGTGGGAAACTTGCTCATGGTTTGATGCACCGTCTTCAGGTGTTTCTGCTTGTAGTAGTTCCCGTTGTTGTGGCCTTTTACGCGAATGCTTTCCTGGCATACTGGGCATTCCCAGTTGTACCACCCCGCAGTGTGGGGGCGGGCTGCATCTCTTCGTCGAATTTTGGCGGGTGGAAAGTCCTTCTGAACTGGTGGAGGCACATGCTCCTGTTGTTGGAATTTCTGCAGTGTGGCAGATGAGAGGAGAGGTGTATCATCCGGGGCTAAAGGACTACTTAAGATCGGACTATTAAGTGGGTGGGAGAGCTGCTGTTGTTGTACACACTGGAGGGGCACCGACCCCGGGTTTGGTTGGGGCACCGACCCCGCGCGGGAACGCTCACCCCTTCCTTCTTCGGTCCGTTCAGAGTGAAGCTCACCCCCTTCTTCGGTCAAACGTTCCGAGTTGAATTGGGGCGCCAACCCCACCTGAAAGCGCTCACCCTTTCCTTCTTCGGTCCGTTCAGAGTAATGCTCACCCACTTCTTCGGTCAATTGTTCTGAGTTGAGCTGGGGCACCGACCCCTGGTTCTGCTGTGTATGGGGCACCGACCCCGTGGTATGGTGAGTGGGGGCTGGTGAGTGGCTGTGCATGGTGTGAACTGAAGGTGTGCCTGGCAGGGGGGCTGGGTGTGCGCGTGTCCTGTCCACTCTCTCCCGACCGGGTGAAGCAGTCCCCATTCCGTCAGGATAGGGCTGCTCTGAGCGCGAGCAAGTCGGCAAGGAGGCGTGGGCCAGGGAGGGCGCTGCCGTGTGGGGGGGGTGGGGCGCACGTTCCCGGAGATCCTTCACCCGACCCAACGAAGCGGTCGCAGCTCGATCACGAGCGCGCCGCTCTGACGACGAGGAGGCGGGCAAGGTGGAGGTCACCGGGGGGAGTGCTGCCGTGCGGTGTGGGGGTTCAACGGGAGTGAACCAGATGTGTAAAGTACGCGGTGCGCTCACTGTGGTGCTAGTGCGAGGTGAGCGGGCGCGTGCTCGGGCAGCAGTGCCCGGTGTGGCTGGAAGCTGTCTGGTAAGTGTAGAATCTAGAATGGTGTATTACCAAACTGTGTACCGACGGCGTCCGTGAAGAAGAAGACGATTACGGAGGACCGGTTGCTTTGGGACCGTTACCTGTCAGGTCGATGAGCAGTGTTTGATTTTCTGCCAACCAACTGCGCGGAACTGACTGGTCTGGTGGCGGGCAAAGACTGGTGTAGTGACTGTCCTTGAGCACTAAGACAACTGGTTTCTCCTTTTTTGCCAATGCAGCATAGTGGCGGCGGTCATATTTGTTGGCAAAGGTGTATCTCTCCCAACCTGTGGCGGTGTGCTTCCAAATGACGATTGCTAAACCTTTGCGTTCAGCGAGGGCTTGGATGCTGAGACCGCACGCCCATGTCTTTGGATCGCTGTGATTGGTGATCCATTCGTCAATGCTATTAGCAGCAGGTCTGCCATTGTGTTGATGTGCTGTCGCTTGGGTATCTGGTGCGAAGTGCTGCGATAAGCGGTCTTTGCGCTTATGGCAGTGTAGAATCATTTCTGTTCGCAATTGGGCGGCTTCCCGTTTTGCCGCTGGAATGTCAAGGGGATCTCCGTGCAGATTCCAATGCCGTGAGCAGGCGATGGCTCGGTAGAAGCAGTCGCCGTCACCATTTTCATCAATGTGGTGCCATCCTGCCTTTTGGGCGTCATCAGGATCACCCAAAATGTGTCTAGTGTTGCCAGGTGCTGTTCGGCTGGTCGGAAGAGGAGGTGATGTGCCTGTCTTTGGTGCTGCTGGAGCTGCAGCAGAATTGCCAGTGGCTTCGCCATTGGGTTCATCTTCGTCGTCTTTGTCAATCTGTGTGGGCGCTTGGCCGGGGCTGGGGCTCTTGCTCCGAGAACGTTTGGCTCGACTAGCGGAGTCGACCTCCATGCGGTCTGTGTCGGCTTTTTCTTCTGTTTTCGAAGATGGTGGTTGCCAAAGATTGCTGGGTGCTTTGAGCACTTGAGAAGTATTTGGCTTTCTTGGTTTTGAAGGTACCAAGAGTAGTCTGATATGGATCATGTTATCTTTGTCTTCGTATGTCCAGACTTCTTGGGCAGAAACGCTATTGGCTGGTGCTTTGCCAATGACCATCCAGTCAGCAGTGTGCCGGCCGCGAGGCTTTTTATGGGATGTTCGGATAGCGGTCCAACCCTGGTCGGTCAGAAAGTGCTGGAGTTCCTCGCGTTCCCAGTGTATGGGGATTCCGCGGGCATCGAGGTGGAGTTCACGGGTCTTCTCAACGGCATCGTCTTGGGCAGGGACGCCCAGATTGCTGGTGGATGTGCCCTTGCGGAAGAACAGGGGCTGTCTGGCACTGTTAGCCTGGGTATGACTGCGTCGGAAGTAGCCCTCACTGGACTCATGGGCTTGGCGATGGAGCCACTGAATGGGTTTTCGAACACCGGCCGGATCTAATTTGTTCAAGAAGATGCCGTGTGTTCCGGAGAAAGGGAGTAATTTGTCGATGTCAGCGTCTAGCATTGGGACGAAACCCACCAGCATGGTTTCTGCACCATGGACTTGCTTGGTCCAACGTCCTCCGGTCAGCGCTGACGTGGTGACTGAGCTGGGCCAGGTGGCCATGGTAGTGATTATTCGATGAGCATTATCACGGGCTTGGAAGAGGCCGCGATAGGTAGCTGGTGCCGCAATGCGTAGAGTGCCTCGATCGGGCTTTGGTATTGATGTTGAAGAGAACTGTTTGGGGGGCAGGAGCCAAGGGCACGCAGACCATGTGCCCAAGGCTTTTAACCCCACATTTTCGATTTTGAACGGGCGGCCCTTTCGCTGGAGTTTGAAACTGGTGTAGGTCAAGGTCTCTGCTTTGTAAGCCTGCCCGGTGTGGATGAGTGTCAGTCCCCCAGTGCAACCATAGGTGGGAAAGTAAGTGGCAATTTCAGTGGCCTGGGCGGGATCTTGGACTTCGGTGACATTGGCCGTGATGGGTTTGCCGTCCTTAATCTGTCGGAGGATGTCAGAGGCGTCTCCCAGGATGGGTTTGAGACTCCAGTTGCTGGGCGCGAGGCTTTGTAGAGGTGCTAGTCGTTGAGAAGAACGACCCCATCGAGTACCCGTGGAGCTTGGACCAGGTGTCCATGTAGCCAAAATCTAAGAGCGGCGAAGCAATGATGCCTGTGCGCCCAAGCCTGCTAAACGCAACACAAACATACCTCTTGGGGGAAACGCAACGCAAACATACCTCTTGGGGGGGCATTTCACATGTATCTTCCAAGTCCTCTTGACACACGCCTTCGAATTGATGACAAACCCAAATGGCAAGCACATGCCAAAGAGGCTATGCACCACATGCCAAGGCCCAGGGTGAGCAAAGTGCTGCCTGGCTAAAGAGCTTTGTCTTCATTGCTTCCGCTGTCTTGCGTGAAGGATATTCGCAACACGAAAACCTGCTAGGAATCGACTACGAGTATATTAAGGCCTTTCTTTGAAGGCATCTCAGTTCAGCCTTTGTTGTCTTCATCAGGCTTCGTGGACCCACTATCGTTGCCAGAAGCATGAACGTGAAATGCAGTCAGTCACTCCTGCCAGAATTTTCTGCTGCCGCTGGTCGCTCTCATCCATGTTAATGTAGGAGTAGACATCCAAAGCACTCCCTTGCACAGCGGGGCAGCTACAAAACTCTTACTGTAATTCATAGAAAACCCGGCGCTGCCGCAACGTCTTGTGTATTTCTTGCTACAGGGAGGAACACCGATCGACTTGTTTCGTGTTAGGCGACAAATAACATTCTGAATGCTTGGGCAAGATAGTTTGGAGCGGGGTCAAAACATAAAAATCAATGAAATAGAGATAGTTACAAAGGGTTTTCACACAAGAAATCAAATAGGGGTCGAAACGAACCACGTGAAAGGAATTTGACCGTTTTTAAAGGAATTTATCCAATCACTTTTGGCCATTCTGAGCACACGCAGGCCTTCACAGTTTGAATGGCACAATCGTGTTTGCAAGGTCGCGCGTAGGCACAAATCTACGCGCCCAAAGACCAAATGACACAGAACACGTTGTTCCCGACCCTCAAGCAATGCCGCTGATCACCTCCTGCTAAGCGTCTCCTCTTTGAAAGCCACATATTGAGAAAAAAACATGTTCAACGCTGTCTCAGCATGACCTCAACATCTCGGTTCCAACACACGGTCTTTGGGCACGTTAAAGCAACTCGTACGGAGGCCTAGGGCAAGCCTTGAACTAGTGCACCAAAAAAGCGTTGTTGCAAAACAGCTAAGCATTGATCTTTACAAGGTAGCAAGGTTGGGAAACAGTCCACAAGCAACCAGCACTATCATTGACAGAGCAGCACAAGCGCTGGTAACAACAGCGATTGCAAGAGCGGTGGTCCGAACAACAAAGGACTGTTTGACATGGCGGGAGGACACTGACACCAGCGCCGCATCAAACCACGATGGCAACTATCCAACATAAGTACAAAGTAGCGGTCGCGCCATGAAGTGTACAAAGTCCAACCATTCGCAAACACCTTTGCGTTGGCAAATTTACGCAATGAGACTATATAAGGGGCTACAACATCTGCAACCTACAGCTGCAAGCAGGGGTCAACCCAACATAGAACGATACAACTAGCGCGACTAAGACTGACTAACAACCACGCAGAATACGACAGAGCCGAAGAGACAAACACAAACGTCACAAGCAGCGGCACAGCACAAGTAATGGATATTCCAAGCTCGACACGCTCTCAAATTGGGAGTAAGTCTGAGTCTTCGCTCTGCTCCGCTTTTGTCCTCCGTTTGGATTGAGTCTTGCCCTCAGTGGTCAAGAGCGGAAGTTTCTCTTCTCGCCCACTGAGCGTGATGGGCGCAGAGAACTCGTTGCGCCACTCTCACACCCAGGGATCCGAGACCTTTCCGCCCAACGGTGTGTCGGTGGTGCCAGGTTTCCCTGTGGTGTGTTGGCGGTGACCACTAAGACTACGGAGGCGGGGCCGCAGCACTCGCACCAAGAAAAGTAAAAATGGGTGAGACCGTGGAAGGAAAACGAGGCTGTACCTGTGAGGACCTGGCGGTTGCGAAGACTCTCACCCCAAGTATGAAGCGCTACCGGGGCAGCCAACAACTCCAACTGACCCATATATAGGCCTGCTTTGGGATCCAAGCGGGCAGAGGGGGAGGTTCAGGGAGGTTGAAGATTCTTCCTGCTTTGCCACCCCCCTCTGCCTCCTCTCCATAGGGTATGTTGGAGAAAAAAGCAGAGGATGGGTCACAAGCTTGACCAGAAATGGCACGCGTGTCGGCCGTTCTAGAACAGCAATTTTAGTACTTCCACAAGTTACAGCACAAGTCATGTATGTCACCCGGAGAAACATACATACCTCAAGACGCAAGGTGTGCGATTCCTATATAGTGCGTTTTAAGTAGCCGTCGTGGATCAACGTGGTCTTCTTCCACGTCGACCCGTGTTTTGGTCATAGATGCCACACTTGCATCAACTAAGGGACGATGTTAAGAGACAGCTTTTCAACACCGTTTTAGCAGCAGGGACATTCCTCAACACCTTCGCTCCAACATAGCCTTGAGAAGGCTAGGGCAACTTGTACAGAAGCCTTGAGCAAGCCATGAGCGAGTACATCAACAGGCAGAAAAAGCGCGTGTTGCACTAAGCAAAGCTTGGGAATACACATGGTCATAGTCTGGTGTTAAACTGCAATGCCAGTTGCGAGGAACATACCGAGCGTAAAGAGATATGAATCACTGAATCACAAAAAGTGAAGCGAAACAGGTGAGAAAGTTGACTGGTGAGGTGGGGAACTTTAAACACCTTAGTCTTCATAAGATCAAATAAGAGGACCAGGATTGACCAGGTGAGTGAAGATGGCGTCGGTGAGACAAGACCTACAGTGACCTACAGGGTAAGATGAGATGTCAGGGCTTGGAACAGGAGGCATTGAACACACAAATAGAATATGTCATATACAATGTAGGATCGATGCGACAATCTGCAAACCAGACTTGGTGGTTGCTAAAATGGCCAGCAGGATACCAACGGGGATGCGAAAAGTCCTTACCCCACTCTGTTCCAAAGATTCAATTTCCAGGTGCTTGCATATCATCACTGATATAGGAGCAAGGCCTGGTTGTAGAGCGACCAGCAGCAAGTAGATGCCAGTGCCTCAAAACAAGAAAAAGAGAGGTAAGCTCTTGGTTTGGGTTTGACCCAGTTTGATGGCTTCATCTCAGGACCAGGCCAAGTGGCAGGAATGTGATGAGGTTGAAGGTGGCGTTTACCACGGTTTTCGCATCAAGAAAAAGTCCAACAATGTACAAATACCTCCATAAAGTGAGAGGATCTGGCATTCAAAATGAAGGCTTCGACAGTGTTCAATCTCTTCAGGCCAGTCGACCTGTATGTGTTCTGACAAAAATAGTCAAATTGTTGTCTTTGAGTCGTTTCGCGGCGCACCCGATCAGGGTAGCTAGAATGGCAGCTGCAAGAAAAATGTACCAATTCCCGTAAATTGTGCTCATGAACCTGCCAGACATCCCGCGTTTGTCAGCAATGTTTGTCCGTTGAAAGACATCAGAAGTGCATAAGCCAAAAAGCACAAGCGGCCAGTCCAAGTCAAATACTAGGCGTCGTGTTAAGTCACTCGAGCTCGTGAAAAGTCACCCGGCCCATCCCCCATGGGGACACCACAATCGCATGAAGCCACTCACAGGCTCAGGAGTGAGAAGTCGCTCGCTTTGTATCCAGTCCAACCGAGGACACCATCTCCAACTATAGAACCATTCTCCAAAAGTGTCACTCCAAGCAGAAAGCGTGCAGTACATCATTAGGTTGAGAACACCATGGGACCGACTTGAAGTACTTGGCCAAAAACTGACACTCCCAGTCCTTCCATCAAGCTGAGCGCGAGCTAGCAACAAATGGCACACCAGCAAGTTGCAAGCAAGCCCTGCACGCAAGCCCCACGCGAGCCAAGACCCAGCAAACCCACTACAAGTCAGACATATCTTACAGCACTCGCAGGGTTGTGCAACGATCCCTGCCGCAAAGATTTTTTTGTATCACATTGAATGATCACTCTGTATGGCAAATCTCCCCGTGTCTTGGGGGTCAAGTTCAAAACAGCTGCGGCAGTTATCTTCATTTCCAAGCTGGAGGCTTGAGGGCTCGAGACTAGCCTGTAGCTTCAGGAATCGCCTCCTGCCCCAGAGGTCTCTGTACAACGCTTTTTGATCCTCGTTAATATCCCTTCTAAAATGGTGGGCCTTGAGGCCACTATAGAGCGATCACTTTGTAGAGAACTCATGTGTTATGTTCTTACAAAATGGCACCCCTTTTTACGTTCCACGTCTGTTTGTAAAGGGTTCTTGTAAAGGGTGTTGTTTAGGTTCAACCAATACCAGCCAGTTTGTAGAAAAAATGACGTCAAGGCCCAGCAATTAGTAGTATGTTTTCCGAGTTGACCATGCCATTGTGTAATTTTGTTTTTTTAAGTTGAAGATCTCATGTTGTACAGATTTTTTGGGCTATATGAGTCGCGTCTTGCACGGCATTTTGTAGAGAATGTATTGCATGTTGTAGAGATGTTTGGGCTATATGACTCAAATCCGAAGAGCATTTTGTGGAGATTTTTTGGGTTATATGAGTCGAGTGTGGAAGAAGCATTTGCCAAGGGCAAGCAAGCCGAAAAAAAACGTCATCCAAGGTGGATCATTTCCCACATACGATGGCACAAGGTCGTGGGTCACAGGATGGCGACCTCAAGGCCCGTTTGAAAGTCTATATAAAACGAAGTGCAACCTGCACCTCAATATAAGTTCTCCACTTGGACACCGTTGACGGCACGACTTCTCGCAAGCATGCATGACTTAACGCGAGGGCCCAGTGCATTCGTATCCCCATTGACATTTGCATGGTGGGGTTGTGTCGGCCATTTTATAGATATAATTTGATGGGTACCACCAAAATCACTATAAAATGAAGAAGGATCAGGAAAAAAGGGCCTCTATAAATTGTATGAAGGTCTGAGCAAGTAGGTCGACCAACATGTTAACAAGTAAGATAAAGTGCCGGAAAAAGCTCTCTATAAAATGATTGTTACTCAATTTTGGATATGTTAACAAAAATTTAAAAGTCAATGAAACATTTTATAGATGAGAAATTTGTTTTTCATTGAGAGGACTGAAAAATCAAAGAATCATTTTATAGATATGTTTTTGCTGGACTTCAAAAAACAGAAAACATTTTATAGAGAGCTAAAAAAGAGCGTTCATCGTACTTATCCACACCTGGTCCATTTTATAGAGAGCCAACAAAAAGCATTACAAGTAACTGTCGTCACCTGTACGGTTCTGTAGAGAGCCGCTCGTGCCTTGTAGTCCCCTTGACCATTTTATAGAGGCCACAAACATTCACTTGTACCTAGTTGTGTACATGATCATTTTATAGAGAAATTAAAAGGATTTAAAGGGATTGAAAAGGATCAAAAGGATTCAAAAGGACCGAAAAGGATCGAAAAGGACTCTATAAAGATCTATAAAGTGCGTGTGATTCTATGAAAGTAGGATACGCATGGATACGCAAGTAAGAGACACGCACCAGCAGCAAAGCTACACCGTTTACTCGCGTTCACTTGCCGCTATTTCTCCACTTGATCGCATCCGTTTGTCTTTGATTGGCACGCAATCATGTTGATTGCCTCGCTTTGCGTTGCCCATGCGAAAGCGAACCACTGAGCTGCGATTGAGCTGCCCCGCTTTTGCACCACATGAATCCACATGATCCACAGGTAACGGCTTTCTATGTTCCGTTCTACATCGTTCATCGTTGTATACATATATAAATACTAATGAAACCAAAACAATCCAAAACAATATATATATAATCCATTATAACCCATACATGCCAATAAAATCCAATATACCACCATAGAAATTCATAGAACACCATAGAAATCCATAGAACAATATAGAACACCTTGTTTGCTCACGTAGTGCACCGTGATCCTACCTTTTCTTTGCAGTTTTTGCAAAATCTAAATGCATCTAAATGCGTCAACCTACAAGCATCTAATTTATGAACCTCCGCCGTGGGACGTGCTGCTGATGAAGTCTGCGATCTCTTTCAGGATCAACAGAAAGCTCTGCCGCTTTGGAGGATCCCCCCTTCAAAGTCCTCTCAGCACTGTCAAACATCTTCGCGACAGCGCGAGAGTAGACTGCAGGCGTGCGCAGCTGCAGAAACCTTACACAACACAAATATACACAAATCACAATGAAATGTTGAGTCCACTATAGAATGAACAGGTATTGAAAACCAGTGAAAATCTGTATATATATTATCTATAAACATCTACTGTATCTACTATATACATCTATATAATGCCCAGGACACATCAGGACACTATAAAATGAATTGACATGAAATAAAATAGATTAAAATGATTGGTAAAGAGGCAAGGCACAAACCTTCAAAGGCTGTTGCAGCCGAATTGAGCATCTCTTGTCTCGTGATGCCCTCAGCAACTTGGTACTTCATCCGGCAAGCGCCATCCAGTGAGAAAGCTGGATTGGATGAAAATTGCTTTGAGTCGAGCATGATCAGCTGCTCAAGCCTGCTCTGAATTGCCTCCCGGCCCTTCTTGGAACGAGTAAATGGATGCTCAGGTGCCTTCTTTCCTTCGGTCACCTCGGCCCCTTCTGCCTGGAGCTCCTTTCGCAGCACTTGCACTGGAGTCTCTTTTGCCTTCTTGGGAACCTTCGCTGGCACATCGCCATCGATCTTTCTCTTAGAGGCTGCCTTTGCCCCAGCCTTCGCCTTCGCATTGGCCTGCTTGGTTCCCTTTGCTCCCCTGGTCATTGTCGCCGCCACCGCCCAGGAAGGAAGAGATTCTGCTTTGGCCAATGCGTCCGTGGAAGCGCTGGACAAGATCACTTTCATGTCCCCTTCATGGTGCTCTGGCGGCTCACCTCAGTGCGCAATAGGAAACATATGGAAACATAGTGAACAATCTTGAGCACAACGTGGGCTATAAAATGAAGGGCCATCTGTGTTCTGAAAGTTCTGTCATCTACAAATTGCAAGTGGTTCATGAATATTCAATTGAAAGTCTTTATATGTCTTTATGATACTCTAATATGCTCTAATAAATTTTAGTAATATCTAATACGGGTCACGGAAAAGTCTGCTGAAACCTGCAAACCATGCTGAACCCAAATGCTTCTCAGGCACAGGCTTCGCAGTCAAGAATTGAGATCAAGGCCTCTATGCGGACCACCCATGCCAGACTCTTGGCATTGCAGTACCACTCGGTGATTGCATCGCTGTCAGGCTTCTTGTCCAGGACCACTGCGCGAAAAGCACTGCAATTGTCAATCCTCGTCTCCGACGAATGCAACTTCGGCATGCGGACACCCTTCCAGCAGCTCAGCACAAGGCCAAGTTCAACGTGGCTGGATGCGCTGGGTGTGTGGAACAGTACGACATTTCCAGGCCTCAGCACCAAACATAACCTCCTGATACCTCCTGGAAGTTTCCTGACTATAAAATGACAGTGTCGCAGGTTTGTTAAAAGAAGTCCACTACAAAATAAGAGGGTATGATCTTTAAACAATATACATAAACATGTACTGCATATTAAAAATTACATAAACATACATAAACAATCATAAACATTCATAAACATGCAATCCAGATCAATCCAGTTGAAACAAGTTGCATGATCCGCTCCGGTGCGTTTTCCGGCAAATCCAGGCGCTTTTGAGCGTTCCGGACCATCTCCTTCCACTTCTCAAGCCGCGATGTCCTGGCTCGGTACTCTCCATCGTCTTTCTCCCAATTCTGTTCCGCGATCTTCCGGTTGTTGTACCTAGGTTAAAAAGTCAATAGCAACAACAACATATGTATATAGACCTTTCATGCCTGTTCATTCTATAGAAAACTTATGTAACCATAATTTCTATCCTCGTTCAATATATATATATATATCCTCTATAAAATGAAGGGGCACTGAAAGGACTAACTTTCAAACCAGTAGCTGATACCAGTTCAGCTTTTTTGAAGCTCGGCGGCAGCTCCGTGCATTCTTCACAAAAAGCGTATCCATACCGCCCCGTGCACTCCGCAGCCGGACAATGTGCCTGAATAGACAGTTGAACCAATCACCTGGCATCTTCAGGGCCTCTCTGAGGGTGCTGGGAAGATAGTCTGCGCTTTCGCTGGGGATCTTTCTCGGGCTCTTTGACAGCTCAGAGCCGAATGCTTCGGCGACACTTGCCAGCTTGATCAGATATTGCAGCAACTCACCATCAGGCAAGTTCTCCAGATTGTCTGGTCTCACGTGCTCTCTTTCCTCCCTATCCTCGGCCACATCCAGGTCCTCCTCAGCCGTGCAAGTCTTGACAAAGTTTGCCTCCTGCTGGAGTTGTTCCAGAACATCCTGGCAGCTTTCTTGCTCTCCGGTCGGCAAACATGCAGCTTCCTCCACCTCCTCAGGCGGCACCTCATAGTCCACTTCACTTGGAGTG